TGCTTTCAGCTAAGTGTAATAAATAATGAGAGGCAAAAGCTTAAAAAAATGCAAAGTCTATACAGTAAAAAAGTGACAGTGCTAAGGTTACTTTATTATTGAAGAAAGTAAACATTTTTTTCTTTTTTGAGTCAGAGTCTCACTGTCACCCAGACTGCAGTGCAGTGGCTCGATCATGGCTCACTGCAGCCTTGACCTTTTCTGGGTTCAGGCAATCCTTCTGCCTCAGCCTCCTGAGTAGCTGGAAAAAAAATTAGCCACCACGCAGGACTAACTTTTTGATTTATTGTAAAGACAAGGTCTCACCAAATTTTTTGATATATTGTAGAGACAAAGTCTTGCCAAGTTGCCCAGGCTGGTCTCGAACCCCTGGACTCAGGCAATCCTCTCCTCCACCTCCCCAAGTGTTGGGATTACAGGCGTGAGCCACTGCACCTGGCATATACCTTATTTTTACTGTACCTCTTCTATGCATAGATGCACAGACACTTGCCATAAATATACCAAATATTAGCAATATAAATGAATTGCACGCCATCCACCCAAGAATTCTATATACATTTAAAGGAAAAATTATTCCCGTTGTTGGTTGAAAAATAAAATCTGTAGTTACATAGGAATCATTACAACATAGTAACTTGACAAATCGAATTCCCTATGTGCTGTGTTTCATCAAAACAGCCATGCATCACTAACGGCAGGCTTGCCTATGCTATTAAGTAGCCTAGGAGCAGTTGGTCATAACATCTAGCCTAGGCGTGTAGTAAGCTAGGCCATCTAGGTTTGTGTAAGTCACTCAGTGATGTTCTCACAATGAGGAAATCTGATGATGCATTTCTCAGAAGGTATCCCTGTCTCTAAGCAATGCATGGCTGTATTTATGAAACACAACACATAGATGATTTTGTTTTGTTTTGTTTTTTTGAGTTGGAGTCTCACTCTGTTGCCCTGGCTGGAGCCACCCCACATCGACTTGCTGGGTTCGGGCAATCCTTCCACCTCAGTCTTCCAAGTAGCTGGAACTACAGGCGTGCGCTACCACTCCCGGCTAATTTTTGATTGATTGTAGTGATGAAGGCTCACCAAGTTGTCTGGTCTGGCCTTGAACCTGTAACCTCAGGTAATCCACTCACCTCAGCCTCCCAAAGTGCTGTTAGATGATTATGTTGTAATGATTCCTGTGTAACTATAGATTATACATTTCAGCCAATAATGGAACAATTTTTCCTTTAAAATTCTATAGAACTCTTGGGTGAATAGCATGTGGTTCATTTACATTGCTAATTACATCTAACGTTACTCCACGTTCATACTATTTGCTTTACTAACTTGGTCCCAGTTATTTTAAAAGACCAAATTGAAAGACAGCCTCATATCTTATTCGGTAAATGGAAGAACAGTAGTTCACTGATTCTACTGTTATTTTCTACCTATTCACAGGAACAACCAAGCCTGCTCCCAACAGAATTTCCCAGCCAGGTTGCTTAAATAGTGGTGGTTGACTATAGTTCATTTATGAGTGCTAGGCTTGGGCATGCCTGTGTACAGGGCAATTCCAGAATTTAGATCACAGATTCTTTTCTCACCATCTTTAGTGGTTTTGCACTGAGAAGTGATCAATTTAATGTATCTTACCATGTCCAAGATTTCACCTATATCTCCAGTCATGCTTCTGGTCTGTGTCTAGACTGCATTGACAAGTGAAGTAAAAAGAGACGTGAGCAAAGCTGCCACTCATTTGTCTGTTTTTGTTAAAGATTTAGAAAAGCCTTGATTCAAATTATAATTTCATGTTATACCTTTCTTAAATTAACTCAAAGTAGTTTATAGTTCAAGTTTAAAAGGTATTCCAACAGTTTTAACTGATAAACCAAAGGCAGTTAAAGCCAAATTCTTTCTGGATTTTAATATGTAAGCTAATAATTCATAAAATTTCTATTGTTTCATGTGTTTAACATTGCATAACCCTTGCAATGTTTAAATCACTGAAATAAAATGGAAAATAAATCATTACTTTTCAGAGTGTGAAAAGCCACCACATTAGTGTGGGCAAATGGACTTTTTCAATGAACTCTTGGATGAATGGAGTGTGTCATTTATATAGCTAATTATACTTAACATTACTCCATATTCATACTATTAATTTTAATAATTTGACCCCAGTTAGTTTAAGAGGGCAACCCACAGAATCAAGACAGTGGCCAGTTCCTCTTTATCCTGGAACAAATGCAGCTCTTTTGTGTGTTAAAATACAATAATGTTTCATGTTCTATGTTTGTATTTAGCAATCATTAAATATTTAAAGTATGGATAGGCTGGCATGGTGGCTCATGCCTATAATCCCAGCACTTTGGGAGGCTGAGGAGAAAGAACTGCCTAAGCCCATGGGTTTGAGACCAACCTGGGCAACTTGGCGAGACCTCATCTCTACAATAAATAAAAAAATTAGCTGAGCGTGGTGACATGTGCCTGTAGTTCCAGCTGCTTGGAAGGCTGAGGTGGAAGAATGGCCTGAGCCCAGCATATCGAGGCTGCGGTGGCTGTGAGTGTGCCACTGCCCTTCAGCCTTGGCGACAGAGTGAAACTCCAACTCAAAAAAAAGTATGGTTATATACTGTACTAATATTGTTCAATTGGCCTTTATTTTAAAATTTCTCCTAGCTCAATGCAGTTTTAAAAATAGACTTCACTTTTTAGAAGTTTGGATTCATAGAAAAATGGAGAAGATAGTGCAGAGTTCCCACATAGGTCCTCCTAGTTTTTCCTGGTATTAACAACTTACATGGGCGTGGCTCGTTTGTTACAATGCGCTACTGAATATTGATATGCTATTATTAACTATAATCCATGGTTTATTCTTAGTTTTTCTTAGCGTCCTTTTCTGCTCCAGGATCCCATCCAGGATACTTACTACACTTCCTTGTCATGTCTTCTTCTGCTCCTCATGGGTGTGACAGTTTCCCTGACTTTCCTGTTTTTGGCCTTGGCAGCTGTGAGGAGCACTGATAAGTGTTTTATAGGATGTGCCCCACTGGAACTTACCTAATTTTTTTTTTTTTTTTGAGTTGGAGTCTCACTCTGTCGCCCAGGCTGGAGTGCAGTGACATGCTCCTGGACACCGCAGCCTTGACCTGCTAGGCTCAGGCGATCCTTTCCCCTCAGCCTTCCAAGTAACTGGAACTATAGGCGTGCGCTACCACACCCTACTAATTTCTTGATTTATTGTGGAGAGGAGGTCTCATCAAGTTGCCCTGGCTGGTCTCAAACCTCTGAGCTCAGGCAATCCTCTTGCCTTGGACTCCCAAAGTGCTGGGATTACACGCTTGAGCCACTGCACCTGGCCAATGTTTTTCTTATGATTAAAGTAATGGGTTTTGAAAGGAAGACCTCAAAGTAATTTTCCTAAGATGAGTCTGATATATATCTAGAACTGTTGCCATGGACATAAACTTATGTGTCATCTTTAGTATTGTGCCTCTTCTCTATAATTAAAGGCAGAAAATAATATGATTATTAAAAAGAAAGGTTGGCTTATAAAAATAACTAAGAGGTAGATAACATTACAAAGGTAGCAAACAGTAGTTATTTTAATTTGGTTTCCCAAGTAAGCATGTTCTTTATGAATTGAAATTACTATGACAGAAATCCAGCAAAAATGCCTAAATATTACATAGCTAGCTCGATTTTATGGCTTTAGAGGCAAAATTTTGAATTTATATAAATAAATGTTACTCAAGTATATCTGTTTTCTTTTCTTTTTTAGTTGGAGTCTCACTCTGTTGCCCAGACTGGAGTGCAGTGAACGCTCCCAGCCACTGCAGCGTCGACTCCGCTGATCCTTCTGCCTCAGCCTTCCAAGTAGCCAGAACTATAGGGTATAGCTATGTTTTCAAAGCATGTTGTCACGTTTTTGTCTACCAAATAAACAGCAAGTAAGCATCATGCAGGCTTCTCTAGCCTATGGGTCAAAAATAGCCTGCGTTAAGTCCTTAGAAAATTAATTGTCATAGGCAAAAGATTCTCTCCTGGGCAGTGGTTCTCAAACTTTAGCGTGCATGGGATTCACCTGAAGGAATCCTTTACCAGTCCAGGGTACTAACCCCTGCGGTTTGTGATTTGACCCCAAGAGGGTCCATTTCCAATAGTTTCCCAGGAGATGCTGATGCTCCTGGTCTGTGGCACACTAGGAAAACCCTTGCTTTAGCATCAACAAGAAAACTACATGCCTTAAGTGACACAATGATTAAAGTGTTTTAGAAACATTACCTTATTTAACTAATTATAGAATCTTATCAAGTCAGTATGATTACTTCTTTTATAAATGGGGAATCTGGGCCCAGAGAGACTGAGGCGCTCATTTGAGGTGATTATGCAGCAAAACCACAACTCAGATCTGCTTCTCACACTCGTGTTTTTCTAGCACAATATACTGCTTCTCATTGATAAAAGGAGTGATATGCTGTATTGTTACTCATCTGGAAAGAGAGAATGTACCTGCAGATGTATCCAGTTCAGTCAGCATGCTTAGGTTCAGGTCAGCAGGTATTAACTAAAGAAGCGATTCTTTTTTTTTTTGAGACAGAGTCTCACTCTGTCGTCCAGGCTGGAGTGCAGTGGCACACTTACGGCTGTCACAGCCTTGACCTGCTGGGTACAGGTGATCCTTCCGCCTCAGCCTTCCAAGGAGCTAGAACTACAGGCATGTGGCACCACACCTGGCTATTTTTTGTTGCTGTTGATTTATTGTGGAGACAGGTCTTGCCAAGTTGCCCAGGCTGGTCTCGAACCCATGGGCTCAGGCAGTCCTCTCACCTTGGCCTCCCAGAATGCTGGGATTACAGGCTTGAGCCACCATGCCCAGCCCATAGTTCTTACTGGAAACTGGGCAAAGCTCAGGGTCATGGAAAGGACTCACTTATCGCTGAACTTCTGAAATAATCAAGGGTGAAGTGAATTTACTGTATAATTACCAAAACAGGAAGAATGGGCTTAGAATAATACTATTTCTTAATTATAACTATTTTATTATTCCTTACAGAAAACACATATTTGAAGTCCTTAAAAGAAGAGTCTCATTTAAATGTAAGCTTAAAGCACCACACTATTCTAAATGTCTGCCAGTGTACACTACTAATCAACCACCACTCACTGTGAAATTGAAGTAACACAGCATGATGGTTTTCAACAAAATGTTCTGACAATTACTAAGATGTTAATCTCCTCTCACAATGCATATCAAAAACAAAGACATTACACAATAAAATATGTAATTTAGGTTTTAAGAAAAGTGGTACAGTATACAGTAAATAGACTGCCAAAAATAAATGCTGCCAACAATATGAATTTCTCACTTTGTTAGACTATATAAAAAAGGACACTGAAATGCAAAATTATTGAACTGCAGACTTAAAATAGTTGAGGTCTAAACTTCAGAATGAAAGAAAACCCCACTCTACATCTCTATCAAAACAAATATATCATGTAAGATTCTTTTTTAAATATCTTCTATCTGTGTGTATATATACATATATACAGCCATGTAATACTGTTAATTAAATCCATAGTTATATTTATTTAAGTAAGAATTAAATAAACTGCCCAAATGGTGATTTTTATTTCACAAAATGTAAGTATTTTAAATCACAACTTCAGGGTGTTATAATGAATACACAGGTTTCTTAGACAGGATTAACAAGCATATCTTTAAGAATATATTTTCATCTATAGGTCAGGTAAAGCTTTATTAATGAAAAACACTTTTAACAGTACAGAAATACAAGTTTCAAAAACAAACACATTCAGAAGATCTGCTGTTCAAATAATATTTTTTCAAAACCAGGTGGAGGAGTATGATAAAATTCACTGAACTGGCAATCCAAAATTGCACTGTCATCAACTAGGGAACAGAAAAAGAAAGAAGATAAATTAGAAATGAATGCCTTAATTTGAATGAATACATAATTATAAATGGTCTCCATAATACTATAATATTAATAGGGAATACAAATAAACACATTTGCTGTCCACATTACAAAACATGATCTTGTACACAAATATTCATAGCAGCTTTATTTGTAATGGCCCTAAACTGAAAACCCTAAAATTCATCAACTTGTGAAAGGATAAAGAAATAGTGATTATGCCCAGAATGAACTTACTATGCAGCAGTAAAAACTATGGATACATGCTATAACATGGTTGAATCTTAAAATAATTATGCTAAGTGAAAGAAGTCAGACAAAAAAAAATGAGAACTGTATAATTCTCTCTATGTAATACTCTAGAAAATGCAGGTTGATAATCTGCAGTGACAGAGTAGATCAGTGGTTTCCTAGTTGGGGCGAGGGTGGAGAAAGGTGAGTGGGAAGGATACAGGAGCAGAAGGAAACTCTTGGGGTGATAAATATGTTTATTACCTTGACCCCAGTGATAACAAAACAAAACAAAGCACCACCATAATGCAAAGCAAGCAGATAATGAACATTACTGTCAAATAGTGATTATTCCTGGGGTGAGGATGCAGTTGTGGCCGGGGCTGCATCTGAGCCACCGAAAATATTCTATTTCATGACCTAACTGGCAATGATGTGGGTGTTCCCTTGACAGCTAGTTGTTAAACTGCACATATATGTTTAATGTGTATTATTATATACTTCATATTTCATGACAAATGCAGAAAAAAATTTAAATACTGGATTTGACATTCATGAAGTTACCAGTGAATAGTAGTTTTAGGAGAAAAGAAGACTAATGAAAACCTTAACTAAAAAGTAAATCACAAGCTTTGGTTGTTATCATATTATTAAATATTTGTATTTGTTATTGTATACTTTTCTGACGTCCCAGTATATAATCACTAATACCACTACATAGAAAGTTACTATAAAAAATTAAGTTTTATTATAACCCAAATTTAAGAATTTAAAGTATTAAATGAGAAAACTTATATTTTTAGATTAAAACCAGAGGTAGAAAAATCATTTAAAGTTTATAACATGTTGATTTAAAGTTTATAACATAAAAAATAAAGCAGAATTATAATTATAAAGGCATTGCAGGGTTTTTTTAAAAAAAGAGATAGAAACCATATTTCTTACAGATACACATATTTATTAATAAAAATGACAAAATGGCATTTGCCTCAAAACAATCCAAGGAGTAGAAGTGAGGAGCAGATGCAGCATGGGGTATAAATGAGACCTCAGGTGATAACTGCTTGATGCTGGTTATGGGCAGATAAGGGTTTATTACATTATTCTCTTTACTTCTGTACACATTTGAAGCTTTTTATAATAAAAATTAACATAATTAAGTCTATATAGTCATTTCTTAAGTTACATGATTCTTGGAGGGACACACTTGCACAGAAAATCATAGCACTTATATGGCTATCAAAAGCAAAGCAACCAACATGAAACTATTCTAAGACACAGTTTCTCTCAGGAGAGCTTTAACATTTAGATAATTTTATAAAAAGTAATTAAATGTTCAATCTACATAACATTTCCATCCTTACTTCCAAAATATTCTTTTTTTTTTTTTTTTTTGGATTCGGCGTCTCTATTACTCAGGCTGGAGTGTGGTGGCATGATCACAGCCACTACAACAGCCTCAACCTGTTGGGCTCAGACAATTCTTCTGCCTCAGACTTCCAAGTAGCTGGAACTATAGGTGCACCACTATGCCTAGCAAAGTTTTGATTTATTGTAGAGATGAGGCCTTGCCATGCTGCTCAAGCTGGTCTTGAACTCCTGGGCTCAGGCAATCCTCTTGCCTTGGCTTCCCAAAATGCTGGGATTACAGGTGTGAGCCACAGTGTCCAGCCCAAAATAGTCTTTATAATTACACTTCCTGGTCATCTAATCCTTCCTAATAACTTGCAGAAAAAGCTTTGAAAATTCAGTAAAGCTTTTCGAAACTTTCTAAAATATGAGATGACAAGAGGAAAAAGGAAGTATAGTTACTACACATTGAAGTATAATAATTGTATTTAGCAAGTTTTTTTTAATATGGGGGGAATAAAAACTACCCTAATTCTGCAAAATGGAACTGTAATACCCTACTGAATACATCTTATATAATAATGTCCTTATTAACAACTAGTCCAGACTTCTGAATGAGAGTTATAAAATTAATATACATACCAACCAAAAGTTAACATATATCTAGTAAAACATTAGAAATATTTTAGCTTACCATAAACAACTGGATACACTGTTCCTCGTATACCTGATGCTGGACAATGCATGTTTTTTCCATTCAAATATACATTTAATTCTACATGGTCATATGTAATACCCTATGAAGGAAGAAATATAAATGTTCCATTAAAAACCTGGATAGACAGAAAGCACTGATTGGGAAGTATGCAAACACAAAAAACTAAACATAGGGTCATAATAGTTTTCATCAAGGGTTTATAATTTGGTAGAACTGAGTTAAAAATAATTAGCAGTGATTATAAGGAGGGAAAATGTCGGGTAAAAATCACAAGAGTCCATAATAAAGGTAAAACAAAGCCAACAGTCTAAATCCTATTATTACAATGAATAAACTGGATTTCATATTTTGAATATTAAGATGATGTGAGTACTGCATACTATGAACAGAGAGGCCTCCTAAACTCACAGAGAAAACACTGTTTTCTCTCTACAGAATTTGATCTTATGATGGGGGCAGAACCATGAGGTTTTCATCAGTAGGGTTTACTACCTGTCACTGTTTTTAAGTTGTGAAGAAATGTCTTTATAGAACTCATTTCCAAGAAAAAATTACATGTTACCATATCTCTTTACCTTGGTTTCAAATATATTATGTAATACCAAGGTAAAGCTGATGTTTACAATATAATTGGTAATTAGGATCAAGGTAAAAAATAGAAAAATAACTCAAAAGACTTTTTTAAATGTACATTATTGATGGTAAAAAAAATCCCAGATTAGTAATAATAATTATTAAGATGCTGGAAAACACTTAGCCCATAATATATAGCAAGCACTATTCCAGGTATTTCATATTAACTCATTTAGTTCTCAACAAGATAGTATTATTAGTCACATTTTGCTGATAAGGTAGCAAAAGCACAGGAAGGTTAAGTAATTTACCGAAGGCTGTACAGCTAGGAGTGGAAGACTTAGACCCATGCAATATGGCTTCATAATCCTTGCTCTTAATCACCATGTCACACTACGTCTCTTTAAAATTTTATATAATAGTTACTAACTGATGACAAAAAGAGATCTTTCCCTTGAAGAATTAAGAATAGACAGCAGAGATCTTTCGCAGAGAAACCATCACAGATCAAGAAGCAATTCCCTTCAAGGATTTCTAGATTTCTGACTGTGGATCAATTCGATCAACTTCAAAGCCTTTCAGAGATAGAAAAAGATGATATAGTCCATGTAGTCTCTCTCTTTACAAGTAAGACAGCAAAAGCCCAGAGAAGCCAAAGTGATAGGTGCCGTAAAAGATTCTCCTCAGGCTGAGGCAGAAGGATTGCCGGAGCCCAGCAGATCAACGCTGGGGTGGCCGTGAGTGTGCCACTGCACTTCAGCCTGGGCAACAGAGAGAGAATCTGACTCAAAAAAAAAAAAAAAAGTTCTCCTCAATTCTTAGCAAAGCCAGGGTTAGGTTAAACAATTATTAACAACGAAGGGATATTGAGAAAGATGAACAGTAAATGGATTGCCTTTTTAAAATTTTAGTTTATGAGTTTATATATAATAATAAAGCTAACTGATGGCTGGGATTAGCTTTTCTAATGAAGAGGTCTGTTTTCATTTAAAAGATAAAAATGAAGTTACATGAAAAATTAAGCATGTTACTGTTTTTATGGGACTGTCAGAAATCTAGCAATTCAGACCAGCAGGTTGTAATTCAGGTACTCTTCATCACCCAGGGGTAGCACAACCCACTGCAAGCAAGTACATTTTAAACCCAAGCGTGACACTTAACAGTAGATCCCAACACAATGCAAAAAGTAAGGAAGGATGTGAAACTTTCCCAGAAGTTTAGTTCAAGTATTTTCTTACCTAATCTATTCTAGGATCAAGAAACTGTGTTTGAGTTTGCCGTAATGATACCAAAACATCCTATATGTTCTATGCATTTATCAGTAATTGTGTGCATGTTTAGTGAACAGATTCTGAAACAAGACTGCCTGAACTATAATCTTTTAATCACCCTCATAAAGACGTTACTTAACTTCTCCTAATCTGTAAAATGGGGTATTAATACTTCCTATTTTATAAGGTCATATGACATTAAAAAATTTAATCCCTGCCAGGCACTTAGGACAGTGTCTGGCCCATTATAAATGCTATGAAGCCAGGCGCGGTGTTCATGCCTGTAATCCCAACACTTTCGGAGGCAGAGGCAAGATGACTGCCTAAGTTCAGGAGTTTGAGACCAGCCTGAGCAACATGGCGAGACCTCATCTCTACAATAAATCAAAAAATTAGCTGGGCATGGTGGCGCATGCCTGTGGTTTCAGCTACTTGGAAGGCTGAGGTAGAAGGATTGCCTGAGATCAGCAGGTCAAGGTTGTGGTGACCATGAACGTGCCAACTGCATTCCAGCCTGTATGACAGAGTAAGACTCTGACTCAGAAAAAAAAAAGTGCTACAGAAGTATTTGTTATTATTATACTTATTACCCAGAATGCTTATAAAAATTCTATAAAATTAAACTGAAAAATGCATTTTTAGAATGAAATTTGTACTTTTCAAAACTCTGTATAAAGGAAAAAAATAATCATAAACTACTTCATGTATGCCTTCCTAGTTCTGTAGTAAATCATGCAGGTACTGTATGATTATTGTCTGAATATAATCATATAATCATTTGGTTAGACATTAAGAACTTATTTTTTTAAAATTTTTCCTCAGAGAACTGTGCATTGCCTGAAATGAAATTCTAAACTTATGAGAATGTTTCTCCTGTCTTACAATCCATCCTACTTTTCCTATGCCACTGTCAACAATTTGGTAAAATTTGGTAAAACTAGGAAGATAAAGTTAATATGGCAGGGGAATGTTTTACTTTTCTTGACGCTGTATATATTTCATATTTTTAGTTCTACTTTTATTACAATAAGCATGAAAACTCAAAGTCTAACTTAATAATGCTAACTAAAATGCATTCTCAAGTCTGTCAAATTGTGGTATTAGTCATCTCCATGAATGAGAGAGGAAGGCAAGAATAACACAAGGTAGAAGTCCAGTACATCAACAAAGAAAAACATGTTACTGATTATCCTTTCTTATGTTTGAGTTTCATCTTTTAGTGTAAACAGGTTGACAGCATCAACTTGACGTCAGGATTTTTTTTCAAGAAATAACCATGTGAATAAGATGTTCCATATTATGGACATCTGGCAGTGATCTATAAATACAGAACCAAGTATTCCAAAAGAAGAACAGGGTAGGACAGATTTTAAAAATGGTTTATGCCTTTTGTCTCATTTTTTTCTTTAGTCAATTTAGGAAAAAAGTATCCAACAATTAAAAACTTATTGTTGTTCATATTTTTTAAATGGCAGAAAAGAGAAGATCAGATCATAATTAAAAACCTTAATTTCCATACCTTTCTTCATTCTTTCTAAAATTCTGTATCCTTTTTTAATTCATCAACTTGGATTTAACGTGTCTGTGTCATCTTATTATTAGAAACTTTCCCTCATTATTCATCGACACCTTTCAACTTGATATCAGAGCTGGAAACTCAAGGTTCTGTGTACAAGGGCACCTTGGCTCAAGGTGGCTCTAGGACTCTGTTCTCAATCAATAGCTAACGGCCTGAACCCAGTGGATGAGGATTTTGGATAAGGCAGTGTGAGAGGAAGTGTCTGGAAAAGACAGAAAGGGATCTCTGGATTACATTTTCAACATGGTAGCTTTGGTACAGAGTTAAATATAGCCAGCTGGAAGTAAAAACAGAAACATCTTAATAACATGTAACTTTTACGATCTTCCGCTTTCTACACTTGACCTTGGCCAAAAGGCTGAGAAGTGATACTATCTTGTTTTCTAAAAAAAGCTTTTCTATAAACAAACTTTAGAATTTTTCAGTCCTATTCTTTGAAGATTTTAATTAGATTAAGTTTAGTAAAAACCACTTCTTCTGATAAAATGCTGTAATTCTCTAATAGAAGTTTATAACAAATCAAGTAACAAATGTGAAAATTTCTCTAAGAGATATCCAGTATCAAAGACACCTCACATCTTCTAATATGTGTCAAAAAACTTTAAAAACTGTGGGCCAAGGTTTCTCTAATGTGAGAGAAGCAGGAAATGTTGGTCAGTAGCCAATCTGTCATTAACTCCCTACAGTGGAAATAAAGGCTCACCCTGATTTTCCTGGCCAGTGGCAGCTCTAAAAGGAAAAGTCAGAGGTAGGTGAGGCAGCAACCTCTGCACCAAGGGCCCTCTTTGGAAAATGCACCATCTCATGAGATCCAAACCCAGTGCTTTCAGATTCAAACCACCAACTCCCAGGCCAGACTGTATATACTAACAGCAGTTCAAGCTTAATAATGGACAGTGGAAAGCAACTCCACTAGGGCACTCACCACCACATCTCCCTCCTGGGGAAGGCTGTTTGCTGGCAGCCTGTTTTTCTCTTCATTGTTGTGGTACAGGGCTCCATCATTTCTCATCACCAGACTGTGCACGTCTCGGCCAAGGGGAATCTGATTCAAGTTAACTTTCTGAGTTGCAACACCAATACCCCAGATTCCTAAAAATATAATAGTTTAAATGCTCCCAGAATCTGAAGAATACCACTATAAATGGAGTCATTTTAAAAGGTGTGTAAACTATTTTTAAAAGAAATGCCATTACTAAAGTTTTTCATTAATCTTTTTAAAAAAATCCTCTTTTAAAAGTAGTTTTATTAGAATGAGCTGTGCTATGTTCTGTACAGATGTATGTGGTCCAGGAGATAAGAGAGCAGCCTTGGAATTGTGCTGAGGATTAGATCCATAATCCATGTATCCATTCCAGTACAATATACAATACTGCCATGAACAATACTGTCATAAGTTAACTAACCTATTATACATAAGTAGCCATGTCATCTTGGGCAAATTACTTAACCTCTCTCTTTCCCTCACCCGTGAACTGTGGATTCTAACAGTACTCACCTCACAAGATAATGAAAAGATAGACCGAGATAATCCAGGTGAAGCATGTAGAATAGTGTTAAGTAGTCCCCCAAAATGGGCAAGCACACAGCAAGTATTCAAAAAACGCTAACTATTTTCATTCTGCTGCTTCTTCTCTAAAAAGATTTTTCAAAAGTCTCACAGTGAAATTAAATGGCCTGGAGTTTTATTTCAAGCTCTACCTCTCAGAAGTGGGAAAACATTGACTTCAGTTTTTACAGCTTTAATGAGTGACAAGTAACATATGTCATGAGCAATATCATGGAGAGAAAAAAATTAATGATAATGTGTAAAATAATTTTCTATCCAACACCTTAAGTTGGTAAAGTTTAAAGCCTTTGGGTCCAAGCTGATTTGGGAGCAAGCGGCTCTCCTCTTAACCAACCAAACAGAATACCCCAAAATACGGATTTTTGTCTCAAATGGTTTCCTGCTAGTTTTGTTTTGGTTTTGAGTCAGGGTCTTACTCTGTCACCTAAGAAGTGGCATGATCATGGCTCACAGCAGCCTCGACTTCCTGGGCCCAGGTGAGCCTCCTGCCTCAGCCTCCTGAATAGCTGGGACTACAGGCGTGTACCACCACGCCCAGTTAATTTTTTTTTTTTTTTTAATACTGGGTCTCGCTTTGTTGCCCAGGTTGGTCTCGAACTCCTGGGCTCAAGCAATCCTCCTGCCTCAGTCTACCAAAGTGCTGGGATTACAGGCATGAGCTTCTGCGCCTGGCCTATCTTTTCAGTTTTTATCAAAATTAGGAAAAATTATAAATGGAAGAAGGCTTAAAGATCATGTTGCCAATCAATTTTTTTTGGATTGAGTGAGACCATCAGAAAGCTGTGTGTCTGGTCTGGGAATGGTGGTTCACGTCCAGAAGGATTGCTTGAGCCCAGGAGTTTGAGATCAGACTAGGCAAAATAGTGAGACCTTGTCTCTACCAAAAAAAAATTACTTGGGCATGGTGGCACACCATGGTAGAGCTGCAGTTCCAGCTATTCAGGAGGCTGAGGCAGAAGGACTGCCTGAGCCCATGATCACGCCACTGCACTCCAGCCTGGGCAATAAGAGTGAGACTCCAACTCAAAAAAATAAAAAAGAAAAGAAAGAAAAAAAAAGAAAGTTGTGTGTCTGGACTTCACTGTCTTGGCCTCCTAAATAATCTGGTCTTATACTTTATCTTCCAAAGTGAGACAATTGTGAGAGTGACAGGAGGTGATCACAGGACAACACTCACTTGTAGACAGAGTTCTACAGTCTCCTTCCTCCTAAAGAACTATGCATGACTGCCTCAAGTTTTCCTTGCAGAATCAATGCTACAAGCTACAACAATTCATTTTTTCTAGGGATTTAACTGAGGAGAGTATCCCTTACAGAAAATTGGCAAAAAACGAGTAGAGATTTAAGACTAAAAAAAAAAAAAATTGCTTCTTTTGAGAAACAAACATGCTATACTTGAGAACTTAGTACAGTAACCAGGCACATTTTGCAGCCAGTGAGCTAATTTATTTTATTATTTATTTATTTAGTTTTCTCGAGTTGGAGTCTCACTGTGGTGCCCAGGCTGGATTATAGTGGCACCCTCACAACCACCGCAGCCTCGACCTGCTGGGTTTAGGCGAGTCTTCCTCCTCAGCCTTCCAAGTAGCTGAACTACAGGTGTGCGTCACCACACCCAGCTAATTTTTTAATTTTTTGAAGTTTCATCAAGTTGCCCATGCTGGTCTGGAACCCGTGGGCTCAGGTAATCCTCTCACCTCCACCTCACAAAGTGCTGGGATTATAGGCATGAGATGCTGTGCCCAGCTGTGAGCTAATTTATAATGGAATGAAGGACAGATTCAGATTTATTTCATATACTCAAGAAAATCAGTATTTAAAATTAATTTAGAAAATAAGCCTTAGATGCTAGGTGCGGTGGCTCACGTCTGTAATCCCAGCACTTTGGGAGGTAGAGGCGAGAAGATTGCAGGTGTTCAAGACCAGCCTGAGCAACATGGCCAAGACCTCAACTCTACAGTAAATAAAAAAATTAGCCAGGCATGGTGGCACATGCCTGTGGTTCTAGCTACTCAGAAGGCTGAGGCACAGGGATCACCTGAACCCAGCAGGTTGAGGGCTGCAGTGGCTGTAAGCGTGTCACTGTACTCTGATAATAAGCCCCAGAGGGATATTTTATATCGTTCAAGGATAGTAGAGTAAAAGTAGGTGTCATTTAGTCTACTTCTCCTGTTCTGTACGCATATCACTAATGTAGTATTGAACTAGTATAAAGCTTTTATCTAAAAAATTTCCAATACAATACACAATACTGCCATATACAACACTGCCACAAGTTAACTAACCTATTATAATTATCTGGTAGAATTGCTACGAATTCATGAAACAGCACATTTTGAAAAGAGAATACAGACTTTAGACTTCTATCTGAATTTTAAATCTGATGATTGCTTCAAAACACTGAGTCAGGGTTTTTTTTTTTTTAAGTCAGAGTCTCACTCTGTCACCCAGGCTGGAGTGCAATGGCATGCTCGTAGCCATCGCAGTCTCGACCTACTGGGCCCAGGTGATCCTTCCGTCCTATCCTTCCAAGTAGCTGGAACCAGAGGCGCACGCCACCCACCAGGCTAATGTTTTGATTTATTGTAGAGATGAGGTCTCACCAAGTTGCCTAGGCTAGTATCGGACCTGTGAGCTCAGGCAATTCTTTCACCTCACCCTCCCAAAGTGCTGGAATTATAGGCATGAGCCACCTTCCCTGGCTGAATCAGGGTATCTTTTTTTTTTTAAAGCAGAATTTATTGAGAGGATAGGAAAGCTCCCACAATGGGAGAGGATCTGAAAGGATTTCCCTCAATCAGGGTATCTTAACAAGAGTTAAGAGAAACTCAGGATCAAAAGATGGGTTTTATCCTAAGATAAATAGCAAGAGTATGTGTTATTTATATGCTTGACCAACTAAGACGGTGCATCTAGATTTTTGTTAATAATGCTGGTGCTTTACATCTATGCAGCATGTCCTGTCTTTAAAACACTTTCATACATACAGTTCCTGTGAGGCAGAAAGGGCAGCTCCTGCGATCTCCAATTTATAGATGAGGAAAACACCGAGTTTACTAAATGAACTAGTTTACCCAGGATCACACAATAAGAGATAAAAGACCCAGGTCTTCTATGTACGAATGTGGTACTTTTTTATTACCTATTCAATCTTTTTCATATACTAAAAATTACTCTTAATATTTAAGAAACTTAGACTTCTGATAGTAAAATAACATTATACCAACCTGTAGACTGGATTTTGAATTCAAAATAGCTTTTGTTCTGATGTAAAGGTGCACTGGCTAAACAACCTCCTGTTCCACATATTCTTCTTCCATTTTTGACAATAACAACATCTGTTCCTAAACAAAAAAATGCAGATACCATGTAACGTTTTTTATTTTATTTTATTATTTTTTGAGTTGGAGTCTCACTCTGTTGCCCAGGCTGGTGTGCAGTGGCACGCTCACGGCCACCACAGCCTCGACTTGCTGGGCTCAGGTGATCCTTCTGCCTCAGCTTTCCAAGTAGCTGGAACCACCATGGCAGGGTAATTTTTTGATTTATCATAGAGATGAGGTCTCACCAAGTTGCCCAGGCTGGTCTTGAACCCATGGGCTAAGGCAGTCCTCTCACCTTGGCCTCCCCAAATGCTGGGATTATAAGCGTGAGCCACCGAGCTTAGCCAAGTTTTTTATTTTCATATCCAACAATTTAGGGCTATTTTTGTTCAGTTCTAACTCTTAGTGCACAAAAAAAGAGACATTATATGCACTTTGAAATGTAAAAATATCAATACATTATTTTAAATATTTAATTCACTATTTTTTTCCTGCGAGAACACTTATTTGTAATATTCATGTGTAGCCACAAGTCTTGTTAATTATGCAGTTTCTTCTTTTGTTTTTTTTATTATTTTTTTCCACTGTGTAACCCACTTCAGTGCCAGCAGTCTATGGGCACAGAGGCCAGGCAATGATTCGAGGACAGTCTACTCTGGTCTGGGGTACTCTGAAAAGCCCAGAGGGACAGGCCAGTCATAAATCCAAGTTTCAATAAACTGTAATAGCTCTGAATTATACTGAACATTTAAAACATTTTTAAAGTGGAAATAGACTAATTCCTTTAATTTTTAGCTAATAAATGAATGTGCTTTTATAAATCGCTTAATTTAAACCAAAACATAAACTCAAGAGTCTAGTAAAATCAATACAGTTTTCAATTCTATCCAAATGAATTAAAACAGTCTATTAAAAACCAGTTGATGGCCAGGTGCAGTGGCTCACGCCTGTAATCACAGCATTTGGGGAGGTGGAGGCAAGAGGAATACCTGAGCCCAAGGGTTCGAGACCAGTCCGGGCAACTTGGTGACCTCATCTCTACAATAAATCAAAAATTAGCCAGGCATGGTGGCACGTGCCTGTAGTCCCAGCTACTCAGGTGAGGTGAAAGGATTGCCTGAGCCCAGGAGGCGGAGGCTGTGGTGAGCTATGATTGTCATGATCATGCCACTGTACTCCAGTCTGGGTGACAGAGTGAGATCCCCAACTCTGGAAAAAAAAATATTGCTATTCCAGTCCCGTTGCAAATATGTAAACAAGGTTTGAATATCCTTAAATGCACTTTATTCTCATGGACAATTTTAGTTTTAGCTCAAACATTTATAGATGAGTGACCTCAGTATCAGTTCATTTTCAAATCTTGATTTAGGAAAGCATGTCTATCAGAGAATACAAAGAGACTTAACATAATTCCAAAATGTAAGAAATAGTCCATAACATTGATGTATACAACTCCCAAAGCCTTTGGCCAATGTCACCACTTTACTAGTATTAAGTGCACAAGCCAGGTAGATCTGGATACCAGAACTGGGTGGGACTCCTGCAGAGGGGTTAAATAAAACTAGGGCATAGTAACAAAAGGTTGAATTCATATTCTAAACAAAAAATTACTTAGGACAAATACATAAGAGAAATAAACAATTTTTAGATTCTGTCATAATTCTAAACTGGTTAATTTGAAAGAGAAATAAAGTAAAACTAAGATCATACTATATGGTTGTTAAAAATTCATTAGACTCCATTTTTTTCTAATTAAAAAACGTTAAGAAGTCGGGCTTGGTGGCTCAGCCTGTAATCCCGCACCTTTGGGAGGCTGAGGTGAGTGGATTGCCTGAGCCCGCGGGTTCGAGACCCGCCTGGGCAGCGAGACTTCATCTCTACAATAAATCAAAAATTAGCTGGGCGTGGTAGCGCATGCCTGTAGTTCCAGCTGCTTGGACGGCTGAGGCGGAAGGATCGCCGGAGCCCAGCAGGTCGAGGCTGTGGTGGCCCGGAGCGGCCACTGCACTCCAGTCTGGGCGACAGAGCGAGACTCCAACTCAAAAAAAACAAAACAAACAAGACAAAACAAAACAAAACAAAAAACGTTAAACCCCCAATTCTGGGAAAGTACCTTTATAAATAATGCTGGGTGTGGTGGTTCATGTTTGTAATCCCCAGCACTTTGGGAGGCTGAGGTGACAGGATTGCTTAAACCCAGGAGTTTGAAATCAGCCCAGGCAACATAGTGAGACCTCATCTCTACAAAACAAACAAACAAACAAAAAAAAACCCACCACCACCAAAAAATTAGCTGAGTGTGGTGGCATGTGCCTGTAGTCCCAGCTACTTGGGAGGCTGAGACAGAAGGATAGCCTGAGCTAGGAAATCATGGCTGTGGTGAGCTGCGATTGTCATGATCATGCCACTGCACTCAAGCTTGGCTGACAGAGTGTGATCCCAACTCAAAAAATAACAACAACAACAACAACAACAACAATCATAATTTGCATCTGGTTGCCACACGTGCCTGTAGTAATTTCAACTGGAGAGCATCCTCCTTGATGACAAAGACCATATACAATATTTGGCATATGCTACCAAATAACTGATAACGAAATAATGAGTGAATATGCTGTGCTAAGCACTTTGTGGTAGATATATAGCATCTGTTCTCCTTTTCCAGACAGACTTCCCTCTGGAGAGCAAGACTTCTAAGGCAGCTGCCTCAATCTCTGGCTTCAGGGGTGCAGCATTTGACCTAGGTCAAGTCAATCAGTGCACTCCACATTTTTTGTGGATTGAGTCAAGAATAGTTATATGATGTAACCAACTACAGTCAGAGAGCCTCAAGACTTCTGCAGAGAACAATTGGATAAAGACACTCTCATCCTTGCTGGACCTGAATGAGGAAGCTAATTGTCTAGGAATCTGCTGCAACTGATCATGGAAGCCTGTCTTCAGGAATAATCAGCAGAAGGCAGAGGAAGTAAGTAAAAAGAAACCAAGTTCTTGGCAGTACTGAGTCTTTCCTGAAGGCAGTGCTGACATACTTTTTGGTTACATGACCCAATAAATTTCCTTCTTTGTTTAAACAATTTTAAATTGTAGTTTTTACTACTTGCAACTGAAAATGCACTAAGTGGAACACATTTCCAAGAATTATGCAAATAAGTTGTATTGCTTTTCTTAACTGGCAGTTTTCTATGGTCCCCTATACATACTAAAACCTTGTAATCACAAGCTTCTACAGCAGATAGCTTATTATCTTGGATATGATCCTAAGATACTAAGTTAATGGAAGTAGTAAAAGACTCTCAATATAGTCTGCTCTGAGCTGGAACCACAGGAATAACTCTGAAAATGGTATTATTCTCGTCTTCCGCATCATTTCTTATCTCCAAAGCATTGTTAGGTACTGAGATGTTTTATATAGAAAGATGAATATATTCAGAGAACATTCTGGAGTGTTTATGACTTAACAGGGAATCACTTTATGCTTATTCTATTTCTCCTTAAGTACAAAGATATTCTGTATTTGGATCTATGTGATTTGTGTAGTGTAATTAATTATTGGTACTGCTTAGACAGTCAAGGCAAATGTGCATGTAGCCTGAATGCCTTATAAATATAGCTAGAATATGTTTTAAAAACCATTAGAAATTCCTAAATGAGTGGTATCCCTTTCAGAGTAGCTACTGAAAAGTCAATTCACAAATAAAAGCAGAATATATGGCATTAATGAAGAAAATGCCACAGAAAATTCCAACAGGAATTCCAAAATGGTTTTAAGTAATGGAACATCACCAAAATAAGTGACAATCCTAAGAGTTATAATTTGGATACAAAATGCATAGCCTGGCTGGGCATGGTGGTTCACGTCTATAATCCCAGCACTTTGGGAGGCCAAGGTGAGAGGATTGCCTGAGTCCATGGGTTCGATACCAGCCTGGGCAAATTGGTGAGACCTCATCTCTACAATAATTAAAAAAAAAAATTAGCCAGGTGTGGTGGTGCATGCCTGTAGTTTCATCTACTTGGAAGGAAGAATAGCCTGAGCCCAGCAGGTCGAAGCTGTGATGGCCATGTATAGCTAGTGGATATTCAAATCTCACCTTACCATTTGAGGATTGAGTAAGACAACATGTAAGGGGTCTGGCTTACTGTCTGGCTTACTTCACTGTACTCCAGCCTTGGCAACAGAGTGAGACTCTGACTCAAAAAAACTAAGTAAATAAATAAATAAAATGTATAGGCTATTTTATAAAAAAGCAATCAAATTCTTTAGGTTATCTAATTCACATAACCTTCCACATATCCAAATGCTTGTGCACATATTTTCAAGTCAAGACCAATGTATGCTTGAAACATACTCTTCTTCTAACTCAACAACCTTTTCCTCTCATTTTATTCAGGTACTCAAATTCAAATCAGGCTCCTACATGATTGAAATTAATGGAAGATAGGTTAAGAAAAAACTTCCTTGGCTGGGTGCAGTAGCTCATGCCTGTAATCCCAACACTTTGGGAGGCCAAGGCAGGAGGATTGCCTAAGCCCAGGAGGCTGAGGCTGCAGTGAGCCATAATCATGCCACTAATCTCCACTCTAGCCCAGGTGACAGAGTGAGACTCCAACTTAAAAAAAAAAAAGATCTTCCATGCAGGTAGAAAATTCAGGGGTGGCACTAGGTTAACTTCATTGAAATTAGTAGCTGATAGTTGCTGGATAGCTTTGGAGAAAGAAAAATACAATGGAACGAGTATTGACCAGTTCTTTCTAGAGAAAACAGAAGCCAGAGAAAAGGAATACTGTAAAGAACTGACTGCAGGAATTCAAGAGTCTGGCAGTAGAAACAGGAAAAAGAACTAAAGCTGATCATAAGTGCAGGAACTATGTACGGTTGTCTTTTGCTGTATTCCCAGCACTTATAACACCTGATAGTCACGTATTAAATATCAGTTCAGTAAATGAGTAACTGAAATGGAAATGGAGAGCAAAGCACAGATGTCCTGGCCCTGACAACCCACTGGGAGGTCCTGCCAGCAGGTTGTACAGAGGGACACTGGGAGCCAGGCCTCATCCAGCACAGGGAGGTCGATTGACAGGACTTGTGCAAGTGACAGCTCTGGTTTCCTGAGTGCTTGCTGTGTGTCCGACAGTAAGCCAGAACCCTTACATGTTATCTTACTCAATCCTCAAATGGTAAGGTGAGGGAGATTATAGGATTTGAACATCCACTAGCTATACATGATGATGGATAATTTAAAAATATTAATTTACATATGTATTAAGGCTCTGTACTACATCTGGAAGATCTAAGAATTAAAAGTAAATGCCCACATACATGGTAGTATAGAATTATCACACTAAGTATGTGCTAGAAAAATAGAAATATAATAGGTGGAGTGTTCCAGAATTATAAAGAATCTGGGCAGGAGAAGGTTTTGTTATCCACATGAAGAAATGCCTTCTTAAGGCTGGGCTCGGTGGTTCAGCTTGTAATCCCAGCACTTTGGGAGGCCGACGTGAGTGGACTGCCTGAGTAGGTGGGTTCGAGACCAGCCTGGGCAACTTGGTGAGACCTCATCTCTACAATAAATAGAAAACTAGCTGGGCGTGGTAGTGCACGCCGGTAGTTCCCACTACTTGGAAGGTGGAAGCGGAAGGATCGCCTAAGCCCAGCAGGTCGACGCTCGGGTGGCCGTGAGTGTGCCACTGCATTCCAGCCTGGGCAACAGAGTAAGACTCCAACTCAAAAAAAAAAAAAAAAAGCCTTTTTATTTCAAGGCACTGTGCTTAAGACAATGACAGGTGTGGGAAACTTCAAAAGTGCAGAAGTATAGTTAGAATAAAATAATCCACAAAAAGGACAGTAATCTAGCTGAAATAGTTATACTGGGAAATCTCTCCTAGAACCACATTCTAGAAGCATGAAACGATATGGGAAAAGTCTAAGAACAGCAACAACAGTAAAGTGGTGAAAGAGGCTATGGTGGGAGAGGAAGAATGCTAAGATAAGTAATATGGTCAGTTGGAACTGGAAAGACAATACACAGATGCAAAGGGCCAAAGTGCAGTTTTGCTTTGTAACCGCCTGACCTGTTGCGAGGAGGCCAGTCAGATGAAATTACAGCACTCCTAACAATGACTAAGGAGTCAGGCAGTGGGAGGTTTTAGTTGAGCTGGCATGTCCTGACCTGAGGTGTGACTTGGGGCTTCTGCAATCTGCCGTGTTTTGACTTTAGGAAGAGAGAGGAAATTTACTTCCAATAAAACAAGCTTCAGTCTGTAAATGACGGGGCTAACGAGAAACAACCGTCTGTCAGAGAAGAAGGAGGAGCAAGACCCGACCCAAAGCATTCTGAAAATGTGCAGTTCTGGGTGGGGCGCGAGAGGAGGGCGCTGTTGGAGGGGTACCAGCGCACTCCCCGCTCCGCTCGCCTGGGGACACGTGACACCTCGGGAGGCAGCTCCGAGATTCCCGTGGAAATGGGAGGTCCACGCGCCCACTCCCGATGACAGGCACTGAGAGGGCCACTCAGCCTTCGACACAGAGCCGGGCCCTGGTGGAGTCGGCCCGCGTCCGGAGAGATCCGCGAAACGACAAGGTGTCGGGGGCAGCGTCGCCGGCCGGGCCCGGGAGGAGGGCGGCGCGCGACCTTCCGACCCCGCAGGTCCCCCGGCCAGCCG